AATTATAGGAGGCATTTATTAAATTAACAAAACGAAATAAGACAAACGTTAGATAATTGAATAATTTAATAACAGATATTGATGAATGCTGTTTATTAAATATTATAGACCAATTTAATAATCGTCGAGCATGTAAAAATATACTATTTATTTCCATTGATAATGCAAACATTGTATAACCAATATTACGCGTTTGTATTAGAGAATTTAATATATAAATAATAACAATGATATGATGACCAATAATTGCATAGGATAAATCTTGTTTTGGTGCATATAGTAGACAATCAAACATATCATAAAAAAAATAACCTAATGAAAAACAGAGTAATCTATAATTAAATATATTTGCATGTGACAATGGATCTTTTAATATTTCTGGTGCTCGATAAAAGGCAATAAATAATAATAAACCACATAGAGTGGAATGTACAAAACTTAAAAATGTATTTTGATGAATCCATCGAATTTGTTGCTTTGTTGGGGATGAGTGCACTATTTTTTCATCGATTAAAACTGTTTCTTCAATAGTTTTAGATATTTCAACTTGTTTAAAACCATATTTTGTAATAAAACCGTGTATAATAATGAAAAATACAAATGAGGGTAGTGTATAAACAATAATCCATGCCGAATCTAATGGATTATATGGAAATAAGTCAGACTGATGATAATAAAATGTCATTTCATTTTTTTTCTAGTAAAATAACGAATGATACACAGGCAGTCTCCTTGTAAAATAAATTTTTTTTATTTTGATTACTCATAATACACCTGTATGTACATACATAAACATATAGAAAGTACACGAAAGTAAAAAAGTGGTTCGTGTCAAGAAGACTACCAAAAAAGACATAAATTGTTCCGTTTCTTTTTTTTTTCTGCATTGTTCTTCAAGTTGTTCACTGACCATGAACGAAAAAGAAAAAGAACTTCAAAAGAAGCATAAATTTAGAAAAAGATCACGAAATAGTCCAAAAATCACTTTATGATTATTTGAAAACATAAACAATTAACCGTTGAGTGATCAATTGCTAAACTAGAGCTGTTTCATACTCAAACGTTTGTTTAATTCATCGAAACAAATTTGTGATCGAAACAACAGTGTCGCTTGACAGATACAATTCCCAAGTAGAACAAAACATTTTGAAATTAGCTTATGATCGATCCCAGGGCAATACTATCTCCAGTGACGCTTTTTTTCTGAAAAAAGCGCTTGAGTTTCTTAGTCATTAAGAAAGTTATGGGTTAAAGACACTTGTTACTCATGCAAAACGCATTTTGACTTCCTGGTTTTAGGTCAACAAATCCAGATTTATATTTCTTTCTTTTGATGTAATATTTAGACACGTATGCATACGGCACACGTGTTCTTTATGTATACATCTTTGTATGCTCATTTAAACAAGTCATACAACAAAACAATGATCGTCGTATATAAAACATTTGTCGGTCTTGTAACATTGTATGAAGATCATTTATACTCTCAGATTCTAAGTGCTTTATTACGATATTGTTCATAACAATAATATAGAAAACAATCAATTTTAATTACTAACACTTTAAAGTGAGTAATCGACAATTAGAGACAGAGAATGAGAATTCAAAGACACAAATATTATCCACCCCTTTTGTTACGAAGTTGGATTAACTTTCTCTTAAGCAGCTCTGAAGAAAATGTAAAAACCACTTTTATTACGAATACGAGGATAGAAGATCGTTTTTATTGGAACTGCTTTTATTAATTTGTTCAACGTTATATTTTAACACTTTTACAGTTGTATATTTCAAAAACTCGGCTACGTATTTCAGCTTTTGGAATCAAAAGAATTTTTATCAAATTTATTGTATTTTTCTGTGTCACTCAATTAAACTTCCTGACTGTGCAAAAACTTCAGAATATAAATAATGCACAAAAGTGAGAAAATGAATCTAAAAATTGATGTAATCATAATTATGAGTATCCTCTATAATAATAATAACAATATTGATAACATTCATGAATACATATTCTCGGAAAGCCCAAGCGTGAATGTCGGTAAAACTTGCGCAAGTGAGCGAATCACATGGCATCGGTCTTTCTCACTTTTATTTTGAGATCAAATTTTAGCCTAGAAACAGGTGAACAATATTTAGATCTTTCAATGTTCACTCTCTGTATTAAATTATCGATTATTCACTTTGTTAGTCATTAAAATTGTTTGTTTTTTATATTATTGTTATGAACAATACCGTAATAAAGCAGTTGCATACAATATTGTAAGAAAGCAAAACGGGGTCGTAAATAGGAAGTCAAAATGCGTTTTGCATGAGTAACAAGTGTCTTTAACCCATAACTTTCTTAATGACTAAGAAACTCAAGCGCTTTTT